AGGGATTCAGTGAAGCTGCCTAGTTGGTACCCTTGGGAGTCATATGTAGATGCTGACCTAGAACAGGAGAAACAGGACCCTGAAGCCCATGAAGAGTGAGGCCACCAAGGAGATGAGGAGCTCTTTGTAGATATCCCATATGTACTTGGTGGAGGGTACCTTATAAACAAAGAACCAGGCAGGGAATAGCATGCCAATGGCCAACAGCACCATGGTCAGATGGGGGAAGACAGCTAGGTTCACTGGGCTGTTATACCTATTCATGGCCTTGAGCTCCATTTTGCTAGGCACTCTTCCATTCACTGTAGCTACTCTACATTCAAGAGCAAATTTCAGAGTCTCTTCTGACATCCATTTTGGTCTTTTCTGTCTTATTAATGACCTTTTGCTTCAGCTATGATGTTCTTGATATCATCCTACCACTTACCTAGCCTTCAGTTATTAGTTTTAAATGTGTCAAATCTATTCTTAAGGTGGTCTCTAAATTCAAATGGGATGTGCTTAAGGTTGTACTTTGGCTGTCATGGACTTGTTTTAATTTTCTTCAGCTTCAACTTGAATTTGCATGTGAGCAATTGATGATCTGTTTGCAATCGTCCCCTGGCCTTGTTTTGACTGAGATATTGGGTTTCTCCACTGTCTCTTTCCACAGATATTATTGATTTGATTTCCACCTGGCAAGGTCCACAAGTGTAGTCACCATTTATGTTGTTGAAAAAGGTATTTCCAATGAAGAATTTGTTGGTCTTGCAAACATTTTTTATGCCATTTTTGACATTGTTTCTATCACCAAGGCCATATTTTCCAACTACTGTTCCTTCTTCATTTCCAACTTCACATTCCAATTATCCATGCATCTTGATTGCATGTTTAGTCAATTTCACACTGTAGAAATTGGTAAAAATCTTCGATGTCTTCCGCTTTGACATTAGTGGTTGTTGCATAAATTTGAATTATAGTTGTAGTAAATGGTCTTCCTTGTAGGTATATGGATATTTTCCTTTCACTGACAGCTTGTACTTTAAGATAGATCTCAAAATATTCTTTCTAATGATGACTATGATGCTATTCCTCTTCAATTTTTTTATCCCTGGCACAGTAGGTCATATGATTGATTCAAAATGACCAATACCACTCCATTTCAGCTCACTAATGCCTAAGATATCTATCCTCTTGCATTCCATCTTATTTTTGATGACTTCCAATTTTCCTAGATTCATACTTCGTACATTGCACATTCTGATTATTAATGGAGTTTGTAGCTGTTTCTTCTCACTTTGAGCTGTGTCACGTCAGCAAATGAAGGTCCTGAAGGTTTATTCTATCTACATAATTAAGATGAATCTACTTTGAGGAAACCACTCTTCCTGAGTTGTATTTTGAGTGCCTTCCAACCAGAGGGGCTCATCATCTGGCACTGTATCAGTCAATGTTCCTGCTGCTACTAACAAGGTTTTCACAGGCTAAGTTTTTTAGAAGTAGATTGTCAGGTCTTTTTTCCTAGTCTGCCTTAGTCTGTAAGCTCTGCTGAAACCTGTCCACTTTGGGTGACCCTGATGTTATTTGAAATACTGGTAGCATACCTTTCAGCATCATAGAATACATAAGTCACCTCAGTATGACAAATGGTGATATGATTACTATGAATTTACTGTTAAATATTGGTTTTTAAAAAATATTGTATACCTTCGACACTTTCCATTTCTCTCTAGTATTTGATTTTCCCCTGTAATGGTACAATTGTCTTTGTGCATGGTAATGTTGATGGAAGAGATGTGAATTTGACTCCACACTATATAACACACATTTTCCCAATAAATACTCAGACATTTATTAACCAAATGAACTTGGGAATATCTGGGGACCTGAGCTTCAGTTTCTTTTTCTATAAGTTCAAGGTAATGTAACTGTCTCTATCTTCCTCTTGGGAGCTCTGGTAGCATAGTGCCTAAAGCACTTGACTGCTAACCAGAAGGCTGGTGGTTCAAACCCACCAGCCACTCCTCAGAAGGAAGGTTGGGCAATCCTACTTCCGTCGTGATACTGCCTCAGAAACCCAAGGAGGGGTCGCTATGAGTCGGGGCCAACTTGACGGCAAATAACAACAACAACAACAACATCTTCCTCTTAAGTTTCTTTGAGGTAGAGGAAAGAAATGTGAAAGTGCTTTGTAAGCTGCCAGATACTGGCCAAAAACCCCAAACTCAAACCCTTTGCCATCACGTTGATTCTGACTCATATCCACCATATGAGACAGAGTAGGACTGCACTATGGGGCTTCCAAGGCAATAATCTTTATGGAAGCAGGCTTCCACATCTTTCTCTTACAGAGAAGCTGGTGGCTTCAAATTACCAACCTGTTGGTTAGCAGCCGACTGGTTAACCATTTCACTATCAGGGCTCATTATACTGGACAAAATAAGATGTTATGATATGGCTGTAACAAATTTTTCTTCTGAATTTGCAGCACTCACTTTGTGCTGAATAGCATGTTTAGCTTGGTTTGAAGGTGACAGCTACAGTCTGGATGGAAGCAAGTACCAAACATGAAGCTAGATTTGGGAGCAAAGCTGTGCCTTACCACTTCACTAGTTATATCACACTAGATAAGTTACCACAAAAAAGAATCTTAAAGCTCTCCAACCCCAGGGTTACTCTGAGAATTAAGTGAAATAATACCCGTAAAAGCCCTGGTGCATTGCGGGCACTTGGTCAATGTTTACAGAGCATCTCTTCAGAGTAGTGAAAGAGAGCTGAATCAAAAAGGCTCCCAGCAGGCAGCACGCAGAGAGGACAAACTAGACAAAGCCTGTTGTTTTGTGCTGTTGAGTCCATTCTGATTTATAGCGACACTATAGGACAGGGTAGAATTGTCCTATAGGGTTTCCAAGGCTGTAAACTTTATGGAAGCAGATCGCCACACCTATCTCCTCTGGAGCTGCTGGTGTGTTCAAACTGCCAACCTTTCAGTTAGCAGCTGAGTACTTAACAACTGTGCTACCAAGGCTCCTCTAATGAAAATGCCTAACATCTATTGCACTCTTACTAAGTGCTCTACCTGTACATTCTCAGTGAGCTCTCAAAAAATAGTCTCCTAGGTTGGTTCTGGGGAGCTCTGGTAGCATAGTGGCTAAGACACTTGCCTGCTAATCAAACGGCTGGCGGTTCAAACCCACCAGCCACTCCTCGGAAGGAAGGTTGGGCAATCCTATTTCCGTAGTGATACTGCCTTGGAAACCCAAGGAGGGGTCACTATGAGTCGGGTTTGACTTGACGGCACATAACAACAACAACAACAACAACAACAACAGGCTGGTTCTGAGGCATATGAAGTTTGCCAGTTCTTAGAACTAGTAAGTGGCAGAGTCACATTTGAAGCCAGAGATGTCTGCTCTGAAATTCCTGGGTGGTGCAAATGGTTAAGAAACTTAGCTGCTAACCAAAAAGTTGTAAGTTTGCATCCACACAGAGGAGCCTTGAAAGAAAGACTTGACCATTTATTTTAAAAAAAACAACAGCCATTGAAAATCCTATGGTGCATAGTTGTACTCCGTCACACATGGGGGTGCAATGAGTTGGAGTTGACATGACAGAAATTGGTTTGTTTTCTTCGTTCTTCCACCCTACTGCCCCCTTCCTGCTCTAAGCTTCTGTGCCATAGGTAGCTGAAGATGTTTAAGAAAGCGTGACTGCCTGGATCTCTTGGAGGTTGTCAGTGCCTGTGTGTGGGAACCATTCAGGGTGGTTGATGCCAACCATTTTTCTTATTCATCTTTTGTTCAGGAAAGCTCGGCTAAATGAAATAGGTTACAGAGAGATTTTTAGTTGTTATTAATAACTGTCTAGTGGATTCTAACTCATGACGACCTATGTGTGCAGAGTGAAACTGCTCCATAGGGCTCTCCGGGTGGATTGCCAGGCCTATCTTCAGAATCACCCTTGGGTGGGTTGGAACTGCCAGCGTTGGGTTAGTAATTGATCATTTAACCCTTTGTGCCACTCAGGCACTTTGTTTTTTAATTAGAGGAGTAACTAAAGATTGCCCTGTAGAGCAGTAGCAAGGCTTACTAACATTTAGTGGGCAAGCAGAGGAACAGCCTGTGAGCCAGCACAATAGGTGAGGCAACTCAGGAGACACAGGTTTTTGGACATTAAGGGAGGAAGGAGAGATCTCAAATCAAACACTACTGAGAGGTCAGCTCAAATGAGAACCAGAAAGGCCCACAAGATTTAACACTTAGAATGCATGTTACTTTGCCAGTGTCTGAAATCACAGCACTCTTTTCAAATGGATTTCAGAGTAGTTGTTCTCTTATGTTATCCCTAGTTTAGGGGAGTGCACCCTCTTTTGGGCCACTGTGCATTTCCTACTCCATGTAAACCAAACCAAACTCACTGCCGTCAAGTCGGACGCGACTCATAGCGACCCCTCCTTGGGTTTTCAAGGCGATATCGCTACAGAAGTAGATTGCCCCATCTTCCTTCTGAGGAGTGACTGGTGGGTTTGAACCACCAGCCTTCTGGTTAGCAGTCAAATGCCTTAGGAACTATTCTACCAGAGCTACTCCATATAGCTCATGTAAAGTCCCTCCTCACTGAGAGCAACCACCTGATTATTAGATCAGATGAAAGAATGCATTTAGGATGCAACTGAGTAGCTCACCAGTCTCCCAAATAAACTATCCAAGTCTTTCCTGGCCCTGGATGTTTAACTCAATCAATAAATTTGCAATTACCATCATGATTTTTGCCTTCAGCTGCATCTGAGAGCTGATACAATTTTCTTAAATTCTTCTTTTTTTATTATTGTGAAATATTCTAGTCATGCCTTCTGATGGCTGGAAAAGTGAATTAATAGTAGTCTAATCACCCTGGAGACACTAATGTTTCAGTGAGCTGGCGCTGAGGTAGGCTGCACATCTCTGTGGGAATGACAAGTGAATGAGTCTACTGCTCACTTAACCTGCTGTTCTTTTCTCTCTGTGTGTTTTCTCTCTCAGGAAACAAATGGAAGACTGCTGTGACCCCGCCCATCTCTTTGCTATGACTAAAATGAATTCCCCCATGGGGAAGAGCATGTGGTATGATGGGGAGTTTTTGTACTCATTCACCATTGACAATTCAACTTTTTCTCTCTTCCCTCAGGTTAGTATAAAATCTGTTGCTTTCAATATAACTTTTTTTTTTTTTTTTTGATATCTCATAGCAAAGGGATAATTGAGTTTGCCTTACTAATCAGAACCATTTCCTTCATTTTCTTTCTTCTCTTCTTAATATTAAACGTTTTACTTTATATCTGTCATCTTTTATGAAGAAATTACACACTGTTTTGATGCAAGGGTGTGAGCAGGATGTTATAGAGTTACAGTTTTCCTAGCTTTTTTGATTTGAGTCATATGAGACTGAGGGAAGCCAGCAAATAATGGTCAGGGAATTGGGGAATTCCAGTGTTTGAGGCTGACTGTGAAATGATCTCAAGGATTTTCTGTTGGAATGTTTTCTTAGGACTGATGTTGCTCTCAGGGAGTGGGGACCATATGGTCAGAAGTCTGCGTCTTGCTCCTCTTGGACATTAACCCCATGGCTAGACTACTGCTATGGAGTGGAGGAGCAGTGAATATAGAGGAAAGAATTCACTTTGACCATGTTTCAAGTGGTGGAAATCAAGCTTTGCTTACTAAATGTTTTTCCTTCTTGGTTTCCTGAGCATTGAGATCACATGTTATAAAATATATCCAGGCAGCAAGTGGGAAAAAAGAAATATTTATTTAAAGTAGCTCTTGTTAGGGTCGAGGGGAACTCTTGGATGAAATTGCCGTTAAAGAGAAAAATGAGAAGTGAATCTTGGCCTCCCCAAGCCTTCTAACCAGTTTGGGTTTGGCAAGATGATTATGCAGCATTAGCATCCAGAGTTAGGGCTACAAAACGGAGTTGAACTATTCATGTGTGTATATTAAGAGCCAATCTTTAACAAAACTCAAAATCATTTTTGGGGAAAAAAAAGGTGGGGAGGGAATGCCCAGGTTTGCTGGTCCGATAGAGTCTGGTGGATCACTGAGACTATGGCCCCTAGCTGCTCTTCAGGTCTGGAATTGGACCCACACCAGTGGCTTCCAGCCAAACAAAAGACAGGCATAGGAGTTGAACATTTACCTGAGGTAGATACACTCCTTGGGGAGAACAATCATGGGACAAAGAGGGGCTGCTTATGCAAAGGGAGACAGCTCAGGGGGCAGGAGTGTATGGAGGGATGCATGGACACAGGGAAGAGGTGACTATGGGGAGAAAGTGGGAGGGGAGCTGTTGCATTGTGGGAAATTGCCATCAATGTCATCAAAGTGTATGTGAGCTGCTGTATGGAAAGTGAATTTGCTCTGTAAACCTTCACCAAATCACAATAAAATAAATAAATAAATAAGAGCCAGTCTTCAAAGGAGGTGTTCTATAAAGCTGAGGCATGAGCTCTACCAGATCCAAAACCATACTCTGTCAAGTAGCCTGTATTTGGTGACCCATTCTTAGTTTCTTAAGTCTGTTTTAATGGTTTTAGAGTATAATGATAATATTTTGAATTTTAAATAGCAAGTAGAGGTTAACATGTTGCGAGCATCCACGTACTTTCTCTTCCTCCTTCATTTGCCTTTGGGAGGCTTCCTAGTTTCAAAAGAAATTTCTAAGAGTTATAAAATGTGGGATTGAATTTGTCTTCATCTTTTACTAAGTAAATGCCTTAGGCTAGTTGCCTAACTCTCCTGAGACTCTGCTTTCTCATCTGTAAAAGGGAGAGAACAGGCCCTGTCCTGTCTACCTCACAGAACTGTAGTGTGGATCAAATTAGGTAATTCATGTCAACATACTCTGTAAAATACAAAGAATTATGTAAATAATAGGTATTTGTTTTGTCCTGGTTCATACACTGCATTCTCAAACTGAGAATGAAGACTGTAATTGTGTTGGTCAGGGTTTTTAAGGAATAGAAATCATTCTAGATGTTTCTGACAGAAACATATTTCATATAGGAAGTTCAAACCGAAACTAAACCCATGGCCATCAAGCCAATAATGACTTATAGTGATCTTATTAGGACAAAGTAGAACTGTCCCATAGGGTTTCCAAGGCTATAAGTCTATAGAAGCAGACGACCACATCTTTTTCCTGTGGAGTGGCTAGTGGGTCAAACCACTGAATTTTCACTTAGAAGCTGAATGCTTTGACCACTGCACCACCAGGGCACCTTATAGGGAATTAGTCAACTAACAAAATCATTGGAAAGGTGGAGAAGTGGGAGTTAAGAAGTAGCTTTTGGAATTATTGAGCTCAAGAACCAGTCCTAACCATGGTCTAGGAATCAAGAAACTCCACTGTCTGTTGCCACTAGCATTGCTACAGTTACCTCTGACAGAACAAGAACAAAAAGGTAGGTTCCACTTCACTGTCGCCTTCAAAATCTCCCTCAAATGCATCTAATTGGTGAAAATTAATTTGCATCAAGCACTGTTGCTGCAGGTAAGTCCAGGAGAAACCCACTGCTGTCGAGTCAGGTCTGACTCATAGTGACCCTTCTTTGGGTTTCTGAGATGGTATCACTACAGAAGTGGATTGCCCAACCTTCCTTCTGGGGTGTGGCTGGTGGGTTTGAACCACTAGCCTTCTGGTTAGCAGTCAGATGCTTTAGGCACTACACCACCAGAGGAGAAGTAGTTTTTAACTCTTTAGCTTTAATAGGAAGTTAGGAAAAAGGTGGAGAAGAGGTTAAGTAAGCCAACTTACAGTACACTCTATATATGAAAAGTGGTATCAGTCAGCTGTGTGATGAACAAGAGATAAGAAAACGTTCTCCCTTAACAGCTCATAAAGAGAAAAAACACTGAAAAGAAAACCAAAACAAACTTTTTGCACATGAGGGAGTTCAGTCATACCAACTAACTTGTAATTTTATTCTAGAAAATAGATTTGAAGAGAAAAGATGATTAAATAAATATATCTTATCTATCACTTGCAGCAGTAAGATAGTAGGAGGTATTTTCTCTTTAAAGCATGTGCAAATGAATTCTGTGCCTGTTTGTTCCAGTTTCAAGATCTAGAAACCATCCTGAATAATAACAAAAAAAATACTTTTTTCTCAGGCACCAGAAGTCATTACATCATTGTGTTTATGCATAGTCATTACACAGGGCTGATCTAATTCAATGAGTAGATTTTTTAGAAAAAACTGTTTATGTATTTTTCTGCTGAGATTCCAAAATGACTGATTAATCTACAGAAATTCTGGAAAATCAGTTTGTATCACAAAAAGGATGGTGTATTTCCCTCTCCTCACTCCATTGTTATTTCTTAGTGAATGTTTCTAATTTGTTATCAAGCAAGCTAACATGCCAGTTAATTGACGTTCCTTGTTGAAGAACACAGTGTGTGCACAATAGGTAGAAATGCAGATGAGTGGGCTAGGTCTGATGTTGCCAGTGAGAACAGAGCACCCATACTTTCCCTGAGTTTCAGTAAAATAGCACTAAGTCTCTTACTCCTCAGCTCAGATTTTATGTCTCTACCCTTAAACTTTTCTCCTAAATGATCAATATATGTTAACCATCATTATTATTATTTATTGCCTACTTTTTTATCCAATGTTTTGTTTGTTTGCTTTCTCATTTTAATTTTTTCCAAGATGACATAAAAGAAAGGAGATGCTTTGTTTCTTATGGAATATTAGCAGATTCCAGTCAGGACAACATATACCCAGGATGATGCCATAGAGATATGTGTGCTTTGCCGTGCCTCATTGAATCTCCTTAGTTAACAATTTGTTGCTTCTTATTAGAACCTCCTGTAATTTACTAAAGCTTTTAAACTGTATTTAAGGATCTCTAGTAGTACAATGCCTACAGCATCTGACCTTTAACCAGAAGGTTGGTGGTTCAAACCCACTAGCCACTTTGCGGAAGCAAGACTGGGCAATCTATTTTTGTAAAGATTTACCACCTTGGAGTCCCTATGAGTCGGAATTGACACAATGGCAGTGGATATGGTTTTTTTTTTTTTTTTTTTAAACAATATTTATTTAATTCTTCCTCATGTTACAGTTATCTGCATAACTATATTCACATATAAACAGTTATCTTCAAGTCTTTATCTCCTCATTTCCTCACCATCTTGTGAGCTTTTGGGAAACAAGTAGAGTTTCTTATTTTTCTGTCTTTTCTTGTACAATGTTTCCCACTCAGTGTAGATACACACGTACCTCATTTTATTGAGCTTCAATTTATTGTGCTTCATAGATACTGCGGTTTTTTTTACAAATTGAAGGTTTGTGGCAACCCTGCGTCAAGCAATTCTATCGGTACCATTTTCCAATAGCATGTGCTCACTTCATGTCTCTCTGTCACATTTTGGTAATTTTCACAGTATTTCAAACTTTTTCATAATACTATTGCATATTTAATAGACTACAGAATAGTGTAAACAACTTTTATTTGCACTGGGAAAGCTAAACATTCATGTGACTTGCTTTATTGTGATATCTGCTTTAATGTGGTGGTCTGGATCCTAACCCACAATATCTTCAAAGTATGCCTGTGTTCATTTCCCATAACTCATGTTTGCCAAAAGTTTTCTTCTCTATGTCTACTTGGGCTAGACCATTGCATTGCTCTTGCTTGAACTGTAGGAGACCAAGCAGTATAGTTTGAGCAGCAGTTTCTAAATGGCTCTATTAATATACTGTGGTGCATATTTGTTGAATATTATTAGGCATGAAGGATAGTATAATACTTGCATAAGTTGGAGGATATGCAGTGTGTGTGCATGTGTGTGTGTTTGGAGGGGACAGTGTGATGGTGAGTGTTATCACTTAGCTTGGGATCAAATTCTTCCTGCTTCATCAAGGACTGTCTCTTTTAAGCCTGCATTGTCCAGGGTTTGTAGGTGTTATTGAATGAACTGTGTTTTGGCCTAAAATATGCTTATGCTCAGAAGGAGCATCAGTTTCGTTGGAAATGAGCAACAGAGTAGAATCAATGTGAGAAATCACAATTGTGATGATATAATCTGAGCAATATTTCCTTTGGGAGCTCTGGTAGTGCCTAAAGCATCTGACTGCTAACCAGAAGGCTGGAGGTTCAAACCCACCAGCCACTCCTCAGAAGGAA